AGCAGATTCAAACGAACATGTTATGGTAAGAAAAGAGTGGAAAGTGGAAGGAAAAATGTTCCTCTTGCAATAGGGAGGACAGATTTGAGCACAGCCAATTTTTCATGAAGGATACCGTGATGCCTCACACTAATGTTAAACAACAATTCCATCTCTGCATTGGCTCTGACACAGAATTAAAAATATGTACTTGTATGCTGTCAGGTCACATGGACATGTAAGATCAGCCTTGTCCTAACCTGGCAGCATGACGGTAGCAGAGCAGTGTTCTGGAGGAGCGACAATCTTGCTGACTGCATAAAAGATGAGGCTGGGCAGCCGCGAGATCTCATCAAGCTTTGACCTTCACTTAGGCCGGCTGCATTGTCTTCTGTTCCATTTAGCAGTACTCTTAAAGAGCAGAGAGGCAGACAGTGTTTCTATAGATCCAATTATACTCTCGACTAGAAACAAACCAAGGAAGGCAATCTGTAAGGATCAGTCTTCCCATCATACGCACACAGGGTTCCTATAAAAATAATTTTATTTATTTCAAAGATTGTGTTCTGCCTTTCCTATCTCATTTGCACTTGTTTCTTTGCCTTTTTCTCCTCTTTTTTTTCCTAATAGCCAGCAGACATGAATGAATCATATATTACTTGTAATAACAACTCGCTAACAACCCTACCCCAAAGAAGCAAAAACTGGAGAGCGCAATGCGACTCTGAAGAGTGGTTTAGCAACGCTGCCACTGCAGAAGGTTTGAAGATTTTGATAATCTCATATTTACCCTGGTCCCTCAATGCCAATGGCAGAGCAATGAGGGAATGTGGTAGGTTGCCGCAGTGCTACCAGGGCTCAACAGTGCAACAGTAGGGAACGGGATGCACTGAGACACTCTGCCAGGACATAGTGTGTGTGGGAAGGGAAAAGCTGGTTTCTCGCCCACATATGCGTCACGATGCCTACTTCTAGCCAGTTCCGTCTGCCTTCCTATTTATTCAGTCAAATAATATTCATTATTAAAAATAAGACTTTTCCTATATATTTGTATCTATAAACAGCATGCATCTATCTATCTATATGTAAGAAGACACACACCTCCTCATCTCAATTTTCCTACCTTTCATGCCCTTTTGTTCTCTCTCAATATTCCTCCCGGACACCCTTGGAAATTGTCAAACAGCAATTAACACAACTGAACCTAGATGGAGGCTAATGTTTTAACTGCAGACAAGAATATTTGGGGAAAAGGAGAAAAAAAAAAAAAAGGACAAGCACCAAGAGCTCTTATCTCTGTATGTATGCCTTGTGTGTTAGCAGAATCCACTTTATTCCTGTTGGTGGGAGATAACCAGGACAAACACATTGCACATGCTGGTCCATGTAGTGGTTAGTCCTGAGAAAGAGTATGTTTATATACCAAAATTCTACTTTTCACACAAGAGTAAATTTAAACGTATGTCTTCTCCTCCAGTGCACATGCAGGAGGTAAGAAGCAAATTTCCTGAGCTTTACATGTTAGCCCCTTAAAATAAATCCTTCATTGACCACTGCCACTGAAGAGACTACTTAAAAAATGTCTCGTCAAGGAAATGTTCACTTAAAGGCCATTATGCTGTTATGAATCAAAATTCCAGATGCTAAACAAATGCCAATTAGTAGTATTAAAAAACCAGATGCCTTGTTCTGAGCGAGTACCACTGCCTGGTGTGTGAAAGGAAAAAAAAATGCACAGAACATGCTGGAAGCCACTGTCCTATTGAGAAGACAGCTTTTAAATAGCTGTTCTGAGGGGCAAACGTAAAAAGCTGTAAAAGCAACTTATTATGAAAGTCTCAGCATAATTTTCCATCAGTATGGAAGAAGGTTAAGCTGTCCCCTGCCTTAAGCTGCTTTCTGCTAGAAATCCAAGCAGTGAGTAGAAGACGTATGGCACAGAGTCAGGTCCACGGAAAGAATAACCGAGACAGCACGACACTGCAGCTGCCTATAGCCCTCCAACCCGTACTGTAGGTGTCAATGTTTGGAAAAACAAAAACAAAAGGTCTCTTATTATTATTATTCTCCTTCATATGTACCATAAACCCCTGTCAAATAAAGATGACCTCACACACACAAATTTAAAGCCATTATAGGCAATCCCTTACATCCTTCACTTCAAGCTTTTCTCAGACCACTGATCAGAGAATTCCATGAGGTGCCCAAGTCCTCTTACCTGCTTCTGAGTGCTGGGAAATTCTTCATATAAATCAAAGGAAGAAACATGATTCCTCCCCATCTTCCACTTACTAGATGTGTGCCAATCCACAAAGTTAACAGGGTATTTTATTTCAGCAGTTTTGGCCTGAGCTCATCTGTATTCTTAAGCAATCTGACTTCTAATTGCAGCTTGCTCTTTTAAACAGATCAGAAGCTGGCATGTTTTAAAACAGGGTGATCTCAGCCCCCACCTGCACCACAACCTGCTAAGGAGTAACAGCATATAAATGGGTTATTCAGAGCAAAACCTACAAAGCCAGAAGCCTTGTGTCCCTGTAAGAAAGACAGGAGGGTGCATTATGCTCCTGGGTATACAGGTGGCCAGGCAGACAAAGCAGCATAATACCAGCTACACGTGGCACAAATAGCTTCTAAATTTTTTTTTTTTGCTCATTTATGCCCAAGAAAGGCAGCCATGTACTGCTTTGTGAGCCTATTTGCCAGAGTCCTAAAAGCCCAATACACTGCCAGGGGAAATGAGAAGCATTCTGCTATGCTCTTGTTCTGAAAGGGAGCAGGAGTTAAGAAGTATTAGGAAACTATTAGAGAAGAACTAGAAAAATATTAAAAATTACTTAAAAGACAGGATCAATGTTAAAAAAACTGTACAAAAATGAGGAACAAAGAAAAAAGGAGGCATATAAAATAAACAATACAGATAAAAATCAAACACTTCTGATACGTAGCTTGCAGTTGTTAAGATAAAAACTACAACAATGCATGTATACATCTAAAGGCTAGGGCATTGACTTATAGATGAAGACAACAGAGAATTTTTTATAAATGAAGATGAGAACAGCTAGGACTTTTGAAGGCTCTCAAGATTTCAGAAACACTCCCGGAACCATATGGGCCACAGGCTTAGCATAAAAATCTCAGAACTTGACCTAACAGAATATTCTTGTGACAACTTCACATGCAACTAGACCAAGACTTTTTTTTCCCCCCAAGTATCACCCAGAAAACAGGTCACTGAAGTGATAGAGTTCATAGAATCACAGAATAGCTGAGGTGAGAAGGCACCTCTGGAGATTGTCCAGTCCAACCCCCTTGCTCAAAGCAGGGTAAACGAGAGCAAGATACTTTGGACTGTGTGCCCAGTCTGCTTTTGAATATATCTCCAAGGACGAGGACTCCACAACCTCTTCAGGCAACCTGTTCCAGTGTTTGATCACCCTCACAGTGAAAAAAGGTTTTTCTGTTTCAATTTATGCTCACTGCCTCTTGTCCAAAGAGCCTGCCTCTGTCGTCTTTACTCCCTTCTACCAGGTATTTATAATTTCTCTTCTCAAAGCTAAGCAATATATTCTGCTTTAACTGCTTCTTCAGATGTTTTTTGAACTAGATGAAAATGTCTATTGAAAGACCATGAATCACGTTACAAGTTCAAATTTTGTTCTGACAAGAAAAGCCCCTACAAAAGAAATATTCTTCACAATGAGGATAGTCAAACATCAGAACATGTTGTCCCGCAAGGCTATGCAATCTGCATCCTCGGAGCTTTTCAACACCTGACTGGAGAATGCCCTGAGCAACCTAATGTAAATTGGTCCAGCTTCGAAGAGGGGATAGATCAGAGTCTTCCAGAGGTCCCTTGCAATCTATGTTATCCTATGAATCTGAAAAAGGACCAAGTATGGATACCCACTATATTCACTGCTTCTTTGGTCCCTTTTTCAATTCCAGTAAATCATGACTTTACAGGTTGCTTTAAACACCATATATTCTACACACTCTGACCAACCTTAATCCTTTTATAATTTAAATAGCTTACATTAAATCCTTGGCTATTTTTTTAAATTTTATTTTTAAAGTGACACAATGTAGGATTTAATCAAAAACCAAGTTTCACACACGTCTGGATCTGAAGTGAGCTAGGAGGTGTGCTTAAAACGGATGAATGCCATCTAAAGCAAAGCAAGAACATATACACTAAGGTACAGAAATGGTACTCATGTCCATAGAGAATATAGGAAAAAAACAATGTTCACTAGACAATTCGTCTCGTGTTTTCCCGCAGGTTTTAAAGTAGGCAGATTACTTGCCAAGAATAGAGAGAGGGGTATGAAAATATTTGCAATATTCAAGTTAGATATTTTAAACCGTGAACAAATATTGTTAAAAAATTACTAAGCACCTCGTTTTAACTTGAAGCATTTGCCCTCGGTCTAGTAACAGAAAGGCCTTTGTGCTCTTGGATACACTGACCAAAGACTGACACAAGCAAGAAAATCCGTATCCTAGGTGAAAAAGTGTCATGCAGACTCACAGCCAAGCGAACTAATGACACAAATGGAAGAAGTAAAAGCAATTAACACACCTGCAGAAATTTCATCAGCTTCCGAGTAAACCATAAAGTAATTTTAATTTTCTACGTACTTCATCGGCATGAGGGAAAAATAACATGCTATCATCAACCTAAAGGAACTTTTTTCCTAGTCAAAATTTAGTAGGTAATGCAGTCCCTGACAGCATCTTCAAATATGTTTATATAGGTTGCTGCCCACATTAACGCTGATGTTTCACTACTAGCAACTTTAGATCAATCCAATGAAAATAAGCAAGTTATGGATCTACCAGAAATCTCATTGATAATACATATGACAGTTGATAGCAATACCTCTTGGTCAACTGGAAATATTAGCTAAATTTTTTTTTTTTTTTTTTTCCTTTGGAGCTTAGTTGTACACTGTGATATTTTAATCTCCTCCTCCTACTGAATGAGAAAAATTCCTCCTCTGCAGGAAAGGCACACTTACTGGCACTTTGAAAGGAGAAGTATTTGAAGCATCCATGGAGTTGGTTTTCTCAGAGGTGCTGGTCCCGGAGATGCTCCGTCTGCGAGGAGATCTCTCTGCTGGGACCTCTAAGGAAGAGAAGAAAAAGAAGGTGAATGGGTGCATGGGGGTGGGGAATAATCAGGTTTTATGCTCTACAAGACAGACGCCTCAGCAAAGTTTCGAGTGTATTGCTAAAGTGCTGAATTACACTCACCTACTTTCCTATATCTTATTTACTTACTAAATTACAATGGCATTTCCACTGAGTTTCAAGGTACTGAATCTGACTTGACTGTAGGCAATAGGCAATTAAAATAAAAATGCTGGTAAAGATCAATAGCCAAACATATTTAGTATAGAATACTAAACATAGAGAATAGAACACTGCTGTTTGTGAGACAGCATTCAGAGAACTTTAATTTTTTATTTTTTTTTTTTTTTTTACATAAGCAATGCAGTAATTAACAGATAACTAAAATCAAGACACAGGGAAGCTCAATTTTAGTCACAGCTGAACACAATTTGACAAAGGTCAAAGTTCGGTCTTACATGATCACACTACTTGTTCAAACCACACAACCAGCAGAAGACTCATAACTGCCTGGGTAATATGACATATATATCTCTGCAGATAAAAAATAGGTCAACTTCTCTTCATTCTGGCAATATGACCTTACTAAGATACGACTTTGGCATCTTAAATCCATGCAGGCTGATCTGACAAGCACAAATATTCATAAAAGATGCACTTACATATTTTTCTAGTATAAATTCTGGAATTATAGTATAATAAAGTATGCACACTATTAAAAAATCTCTACACACATATACTATACATATATGCATTTTTATATATATCTAGACACACATACATATACATAGATACCTTTGTCACAACTGCTGCCCATCTCCAGCTCAATTGCCAGACTTAAAGGAATCCAGCTTCACAAAACACCCCCCAACACGGGGAGGGAAAAAATCACTTCCTAGCAGAAAGTCCATTGTTATCTTCTGAATCTTAAAGAAAAGGAGTAAGCCGTGACTCCAGACAGTGACATTTTGACTCCTGCCGTTTTCCTTTCAAGAGACAGATGCAGCTTAAACTTCCATTTCTGGCCGCCTGGCCCTGGGGATCCGTGCTACTTCCACTTAAGAGAAAGCTAGGTCTCTCTGTTCCCCCTCCCTTCCCACAGCTTGCAGAGAGCGAGCGAGCGAGCAAGTGAAAAAGACACACACAGGACTGCAGCTATTCAATCAATCGCTCCGACTGCACATCCTCATTAGTTACTTTCAGGCTATTAACAGACGCCCAACTGCCGGCTTCCCTCTGCTACAGAAAATTTCGCTGTATATCCCGATTCACGGCAGCCAAAAAGGTTTACAGAGATAGCTGGTGCCACGAGAGCAGCGTTTTCCTCAAAATAACTGAAGAAAAAATGAGAAAACCTTCTTCAGGAATAACATTACTCGTGATGTCTTTGCATACCGGATTTTGATTTCACCAGAGTTATAATACGTATCTCCCATGGATGCTTGAAGAACGACAAAATGGAGCATACTGAATGAGAGGCTAAGAAATCTGGACCCTGCAGTATTAGTGTCTCGCACCGTAGGTATTTATCTTTTAAAAAACCAAACCGCTAACATTCAGCCTCTCAATCTGGTCGTAAACATCGATGGGGATAGAACTGCAAAGAGGGAAAACAGCCTCCTAAAACTGGGCAAACAAAGTCTAACACATAACGTAGCTACCACTGGAAAATGGGCAGGGCACAGCCGCTCGCTGCCGACCGCGTTGACGATGCACAAGCCCTGCTCGCACCGACCACGTAAATCACAGTCTGTCAAAGCTCGCAATAACCGCGATAGAGCAAGCACGGTTTTGGGGAGATTTCTCCTTCGGCTGACGAGCAGCATCAGGCACTTTCTCTTACAGCTAAGGAGGCATCGCCCGTTCCAGTGCAGGCGGGTAAGTCCCTGTCAGGGCACCGTTAGAGAACAAAGCACCTGGAGCGGGGCCAGTGCTAAACCAAGGTTTTTAAATTATGGTCAGCCCCACCACCTCAGGAGCCTTTGCAGAGGTTGCTAGTTTTATCTGAAGATGCGCTTTTTTATCCTGCCAGGCTCTTCCCCCTGCCTCTACGAAGGGAAACTTACTTTCTGCAGCACCTGTAAGTACTGCTCTCCCAAAGAGAGCTGTATTATGTAGGATTTAAATGATTGCTCCTGCTGTTCTCGCTATAAATGCAATGAAAGCAAATGGGAATGATACATTCACTTGGAACTGGGGACTAAAGTGAGCACCTTTTATTTTACATCGAGTAGTAATGCATAAATGTAATAGGTTTCACTTGCTCTACTTCTCACACACAGGAAATCACATGAAAGCTGCTTCAGTAATTTAACACAGTTTGTTAACTTTGCCGAGTCATAAATGAAAACAGGAGCCTGAACTCCCCACTATTTTCAACAATAGATTCTGCAGGAGGGGCAGTTTAGGAGAAAGTTGAAGTGTAAACCAAATGGAGTTTAAAACCTTCAACAAGGAACATGCCTGGCTCTCCTTGCCTTCCTTCTTCCCCTCACATCCACCCAGCAGCAAATCAGGTATTCGGCAAATAAAATTCTGAGATTCCACTGGTAAAATGAGTTTCTTCTGTTCTCAGACCATCACAGAAGTGTACCAAATGGGGAAGGGAAAAGGAAATAATCACAAGGTGCCAAGGAACTAACTTTCCCTCTCTTCTCCTTCCAAAAAAAAAGAGCAAATAAACAACATGCTCAGTCCCTAGGAAAAAGACGACCTAGATATAGCAAAACTGTTGAGATATGTTAATTGGAAATCAAAAGCTAAAGCAACCTTCTGTGATGCCCGTAGAACAGTATTTTTGCTGAGGCATGTAAAAAAAAAAAAAAAAAAAATCTATTCTGTCACCACCAGGCAAAAAATTAGACAGTTCCCCTCCCCTGCTCCCCAAGTAATGCCAGAGGCTACTCTTGCATAATCTTCACCTGCTGTAAAAATCAATGCACCTCTCATCGGCTTAGTATTAAATTACAACTGCTTTCTGCATTGCTCACGCTCAAGGACCAAGACTACAGATAAATCACATAGTTTCTATGGACAAACAATCTGAAAACCTTTTCATCCACTCTCAATTTCTGGGAAGAAAAAAAAAAAAAGTAGACAGATCTTCCTGTTTGCAACCTTAAAAGAAATAATCCATCAAACAAATGAGTGGTAAACATCCCTATGGGACACTTTTAATTTATCACCTCATATATTGGTGATATGCAGTAATATTTATGTAAATAAATATTTATGCAAATATTTACACACTACATAGAAATGGTCAGTTCCAAATTAGCTGAGCCAATTGCTCAGCTATGGCAGATGCCTCTGAAGAGGGAACTGCCCAAGGATACAATGAAGGTAGGTCTCCACACCTTCATATTGCGCCACTCTCTACCCTCTGCAACACCAAAGCTTGCTGCGTTGGCCAGAGGCAGGTTTGTGTAAGACAGGTGCCATTTACTACTATGAGTAGTGGTGATGATTGACCTCCTTTGAAGGCAACCATCTTGGCCACAGCGGCGTAGCCTCATTGACCTCCAGTCAGGATGCGGCTCTCGGACTAGATCTGAACTTCCTATTGCTGGGGTGTTCTGGCCACTTGAAATTCGAAACCTTGCTGTTGTGGGAATTTGTATTCTACTGTGAAAAGCTTTTTCTCAGTGTGGGAGAAGTAGAGATGAAACAGACCTCCCAGCTTCGCAGGACAGTGCTTGCTACTCTATCTCCATTTTTCTGAATTAGAAATGGATTGGAGAAGGGCAGGAAAAACAAACAAGAACAAATAAACTTCCTCAGGGGTTGGAGTGAAAAGAGTTAAGTTACTAAACTCACAAAATAAGGTCACAGAAACAAAGATTAAAGGGGTGTCTGTGATTTTGCAAAAGACAATGCAATGAAAGTACTGCACAGTCAGTGGAACTTGCATAAAGACTGGCACCTTCCCAGGACTGGCAAGAACATCTCCCAATCCAAGTTCCTGCTTATGAAGCCCAAGAGTTCACTCTAAAGCAGTCCCAAAGACCTACCTGGAGATGCAAAAAAGGGTAAGCACGCTGGCAAGCATAACTCTTGTCTCTCATAACTCATAAGGGGCTGGTACTGGTCTCCAACACAGCAAACAGTTCAGACCACCTACTCCAGGCTGGCAGGTCCTACAGTTCTATAATGAAGATCTCAGCCTGGTCATGTTCTACACACCAGCCTTTTATCAACTGTAACTTTTAGCAGTTCATAATAATCAGTCGATCAAAAGTCACAATCAATAATCAAAGCCACAATTTTATCAGATCTAACTTTTAGCAGTTCATAATAACCAGTTATCTGCTACAAAATCCTTCACTCTGATGTGCAAGAAAGATTTGGATTTGTGAAAGGCTACATTTACCATCCACTGTAAAAAAAGTCCTACTACTAACAAAAATTAATTAATATTTGTTTCCCAAGATTAGATTCTATGGAGGAAAAAAAAAAAAATCCATCCTCAAATTTATTCTCCAAATATATTTACTTGATATCTTTGTGTTGTCTTTACTAGAGAGGGGACAGACTGCTGGTGTGTATTATCTACTGGTTAGGAAAATAAAAGAAAGGTATAATAAGATTTCAGAGATTGGGACTTCCTTTTGTTTTGTCTGCACACATCGTGATATGATGGTACCTTGGTCTGCAACTAGAGGGGATCAAGAATATGATTCATAAAAAGAATAAATTCATTCTGCCTCTCAAGTCTAGCTTAATTACAGGTATTTGAAAAATACAACACCAGTTCAATGTGACCAATTACCTACGCAGAACCCCACGTTCCCAAAGACTGCGTCTCAGGTGCACTTGTATTCAAATGTCTCCAGCTGGAACAAAAAAAAAAACCCCACCCAAATATTTTCACCCCCTTTATATAGCTACCTTGGCATTCCCCATGAGAAAATGGTAATTGCTGCTGGTCAGAGCATTAGCTGAACAATCAAATAATCCTGCAATTAGCTTCTTGTCTGAAGGATCAATAAGCCATAC